GCCTCAAAGATAGTGATGGATTAGGGATAGCGATGGATTAGGTAGAGCTTGCAAGCAGACATAGGCAAGTGAGACACATAGAGGAAGTGACATTGGACTTTGACGGGGTTTTAGGAAAATGAAGCTCATGCCTAGTGTAATGTAGGGGATGGCGACACCAATCTTGTGAGGGAGGTTTCTATTAACCATCTTATTCGGTCCCAGTCAAGTGATGTAAGTATGGTGGCATCAAGATCGTAGGATGGTGTAGGAAAAGTACACATATATGGTGCATAGAAAGTGAAGTCGATGGAGCACAGGAGCGCATGCGTGGAGGTACTGAAGCATGTTCAATTTTCTTATGATATTACCTATGGCGAGGATCTCTTTAGCATGTAATGGTGTAGACACATTGACTTGCGCTACGGCAAGAGTCGTGGGGCACCCCCCATTGTGGGTGTGGGTGCATGTGTTTTGGTTTGAAGTGCAAAGCAATGGAAGACACTAGCAGAAAAATTCAAGTCAACTGATAAATCATCGAGGTATCTTGGGCACCAAAGTTAAGGTGGATATTGTTGAAATTGTATCTTTGAATTTTTATATAACTTCATGTAGTTGGTTAAGATTAAATGTCTATTATGATTAGGAATGATGTCTCACCATGATAAAAAGTTTGTTATGATTAGGAGATGAGGTCTTATCACAATAAAAAGTTTGTATTCTATCCAAGCTAGAAAGTAAGGTTAGGGATAGAATTTTTGTTTCTCTATATTTGTCCCCAATTGTTGAAGGTAAATCAAGTAGAGGCTATTCTCGTAGTAAGTGGTTAACAGAGGGTCTAACTATACTCAAAGTATTGTGAGAGGAGATGTTTTCACATTCCTTGTCTATCCAAAAGATCGTAGTTTTGTTCGTGATAGTGGATTGATTTAGTTGTTGTGGTTTCTCTCAGTTAAAGGTTTTCATGTTAAAATCATGTTTGATTTTCTTGTTGCATATTACGTATTTCTGGATTGTTTGGATCTCTCAAAAATCCTATCAAATACTACTATCATGAAGTCATATCTTACGTTATACGTAAAATATACATACTAAGCACCAACATTTCTTAAACACTCCTTAAATATATGCATTGATCTACTCGGACATGTAGTCCATAATATAACACAAGCTTTAATTTAGGATTATATGTATATATACCCTTTAACTCATTGATATTTGCAAAAATACCCTCCAAATCTCAGTATTTACAAAACTACCCTCAATTCATTAATTTTGGAAAAATTACCCTCAAAGCAATTAATCACTAACTTTAATAAGTTAATTTTTTTATTGCAATGTAAAAATTATCAACAAAATAGGGCTAAATTACCATATTAGTATTTTTATTCGACCATGTTTGCTAGTTTGGTATATTTAAAAATTCCGGCGACAACAAGGTTTTTTTGTTCTCGGCCTTTTAGTCAAATAAGGCACATTCTTCTCGCCAGCGGCCAAAAACCAACTACGAGTGGCTCACGTGACCCTCACGTGACAAAATTAATGCTGACATGGATGTTGACATGACTATGTTTTAAAGAGAAGGCGGGAATTTAACTTACAAGGAAATCCTAGATTCCTCCTTAACCTACACACCCAAATTTACCCTCCTATAAGCAATCCAAAACCCTAACAAAGCAAAGCAGCAAACCAGTAGCTAACCTCTTTCAGCAATCGGTCGAACGACATCTCAATGTACACAATGCAAAAATTCCTCACCATCAAAACGACATTCGGCTCACTGTAAACCCTTCATATCATTGAGAATGGCAACTCAATCTTCGGCTGGTGCTTGACTTGCTTGTTCACATGACTCAAAATCTCAAGAACCTAGCAACTAAAAGTAGGAACGGGTTAGGATTAGGGTTTTGGAGAAACCATAGAATTTGGGGGATTTTACCAGCTTGCGGAAGGATTTGGAGGGAGAGGAGAGGGAGGAGATGGAGTAAGGGAGGATCTTGGGGAGGAGGGAGGAGAGGTTGGAGTCGTCAGCGAGGGCGAGGCGAGTAAGCATGTGATCTATGGTTTCTTCTATCTGAGCGTTGGATTGAGATGGAGACGATGAAGAATTGTCCGCCATTTTTTTCTGAGTTTTTCGTTTGATAAAAAATTATAGCCACGTCATTAACATCCTGCCATGTCAGCATTTATGTCAACCATTAATTTTGTCACGTGAGCGTCACGTAGCCACTCGCAGTTGTTTTTTTGCCGCCGGCAAGAAGAATGGGCCTTATTGACTAAAAGATCGAGAAAAAAATACCTTGTTGTCGTCAGATTTTTTTAAATATACCAAATTGGCAAATAGGGTCGAATAAAATACTAATTTGGTAATTTAGCCAACAAAATAGTCAAATATTTATCACTAAGTTGTTGATTTATTGATTTTAGGGGTAATTTTTTCCAACGTTGATGATTTGAGGGTAGCTTTGCAAATACTAAGATTTAGAGGGTATTTTTGAAAAGTACTTGTTGATGTCGGTTATTAAACAGGGGTTATTTGAGAGTTTGTAGAGTAATCAGGGTCCTCTAACTCCTTCTGATGAGTGGTTTTGGGGCTCGCTGTTCTTCTCTACACATAAAAAACTCATAAGAGCGTGGAGTTGGATTCTCTGGTTGTCCCACCAACAATCAAGTCAATAGGTGATTTTGAGTGGAAAAATACACAGTTAGTTCTTAGTTACGTAGAAAAGTCTAGAGAGTGTTACTTCATGCAGTGCCGTTCTTTTTATAGTAGGTTTGAGGGGCAAGAAGGTAACTTAGACCGAATCCAGCTAAGCAGCTGAATCGATAGATATGTGCCATGTGTTGGTTGCTGTAGGAGGTGAGTCACCTAGTCATTTATTATGGGAATGACAACAAGTGCTTGGTGCTGACTGGGTCTGATGAGTTAGAGTAATAATGACGTTATCAGGACAGTTAATGCAGGAGTAATCGACTGGCGAGGTGTTCGAGGTAACTGCCATCCTTCGACTCGTCAGGTCCAGGGCCATAAAGTACTGCCTTTTAACTCGGTTACACGAGATGTTGGCTGAACAGTGGGCCGAGCCGGATCGCTTGTGGAATCAATTGAGGGTTGGCCGAGTAGTACCGCCTTATGACTCAGCTACGCAAGTTGTCGGCCAATCAATTCGGCCGTGCTGAGGCGGAGGTTATATTGGTCTTGAATTAGTCTGGTTAGGCATAGTGTAAGACATGTGTCGACTTCTCTATGGATGATTAATTTTTAGTAATTTAGGGGTTATAACAATACCCATGATTTAAGAGTTATATTTGTAAATAACCCTTTAATTTAAGACACTTGTCATGCGCTTCTTTGACATATATCTAACAAGTTGGCTATATTAAGAGATTGCTAATGGAATTTATACACATGCAAAATAGATGCATTTTAGTTCTTGCAACATTGAGTTTAAAGTCTCATTTAACACTGTGTGTCCATTTTCCATGGTCTTTTTGGTATAGCTTTCTTGGATAGACATTTTTCTAATTTATAATCTGCATAGTAAAAAAGAACATAGAAATATTGTGAAGATCTAAGCAGAAACCCTTGACTTTTGTTCTTCTCAATTTGAATAAATATTGTTGGTGCACGCTTTACTATTCGATGCTGATTAGTCCGAGCGGTGTAAAAAACATACTTATGTATGCTAAGAATTCATAAGTTCAGAAAATACTCATAATCCTAACCTTGTTTATTTTGGAAAATTACCCTGTTCACGTTGTGTATTTTGTATTTTCTATGGAATGCTATAAAAGTGTAAAAATGAACCTGGTCATTCTAATCATGCAAATACGTCTGGATCTAGATGTTACGCGTTAAAAATTCGTACCCTTTAGCTAGACTTATCCTAGTCTTCTGCTAATGTTAAATGTGTATCCAGTGGCAAGGGATTCAATTGGCAAAGGTTTAAATTTCTGCCGGTCAGTAGCAAACATGGCTGGTTGTTGGCCGGAGGCCTCCACGCTGAAAAATGTTCAGGAGGCAGCTCTGACTCTTAAACCAGATGGAGTTGATGTCTGATGGGATCAATAAGGATCCTTTGAACAAATCCTCTTTCATTAGGAAAGTAAATCCTTTGAGCTACTCAGTACTCAAAATATTTGGTTGAAATAGTTGTATTATCCTGAAACTATGGATATGCACGTAGTAATGGGGTTCTTAACATTATGTGAGTTGATGTATTCTGAGCCTTAAATGTAGCAAAAATAAGCTTATTTCATCGCGATTTTTTATGTTAATAAGCTTATTTCATGGCAAATCTGAATGACTAGGGTTATACTAACTTCAAATGTATGTAATAACGTGATCGTAATAACCCTGTGTTGCGTATTTTTTTCAGCAAACAATAGTAATGTGGTAATCCAAAAGCTTAAATGTACATACCTGATTTAACTGAGATATATGCCATAATGTTTTTACATTGTAAACTTAATATTGTGTCGAATACGTGATTATAAGTTGAAGCTATCCAAAAGAAATTCCATGACTAAACAGATCCTTTGCCTTGAAAAACTATGAAATTGATACGTAAGCAGGACCAACTTTGCCAAATAGAAAATTATTAACTTCAAAATTTATATTCAACAACTAAAGTTTCAATATCTTAATGTTAGAGAAATTATAGAGTTTTCTGTCAAGCAGTTATCTGCAAACTACTTGCCAAATCCTCTTAAATTATGATTCTTTTTTTAATTTTTAATTTTTTTTATTTTTTTTTATTTTTTTTATTAACTTTTTTTGTTGATTTTGTATGACATCTGAAATGTATTATTATATCCAAATTATTTTAACTCATAAAAAGGTCATCACTGCAATAAAGAAACTATTTTCTAGAGCTTAATGAAAAAAATAACCGTGCCATCATATTTCATTACTGAACGTATCTAAGAAGATGATTAGACCATCAGCCCATCATTGTGCTTAAGGTAGTTGAATTCATGTCTGTCAAAGAGCCATAACAAACCACATTGCTACGAGTCCATAAACATGCTACGCATCCCAAAATTCCATACTTTCTTACTCAAAATTTCATATCATGATACAAATGTTGCCGCAAATATAGACAGTTCTTCAAAACCACTCAATGTATACACTAAACACCAACCAGGTAATTGAATGCCTCAAAAACAGTTACAGCTCCTCGGTCTAAAAATCAAAGAAGGGAAAAAAACTGTACATGCTGTTTACAACGAAAGAGCTCCTCCATCCATGCCAAGCTACATACAAAATATAATTCTCAACCTCATCACACGAAACCAAAACCAAGCTACATACAACATATAATTCTCAACCCCATCACAAGGAACTAAGACGCATGAAATATTTTTGGACAGTTCGACAAAATATTCACTTGGCTGCCCGTATATTAACTAATATCTATGGTTCCAATGATTTCCAGTGGCCAGATTCCTGCAGGCTCTGTGATTCTGATTAACAAGTTTTGATGCAGTGCTGATTGGGACCACAGAAATAAAAATTTCTTTTGCATTTGATTTGATTTGTCACAACCAAATCTTACTACGTAGGTCAAGCAGCATCAAGTTTCGACCTCATCCAATCTATCATCAGAAACAAAATCAAATCCATATATGCAACAATCAATTAGAGAAGAATCACTTTGTAGATCATCCATTCATTTCTCAACCGCTCCAAACCGCTCCTTGTCTTCGTGGCATTGCCTTACAACGTCGTCAAGCTCAGGGAACAATGCTAAAAGGATTAGCTCCAAAAGCTCAAGAGCGAGCTGCTTCAAACAAATAGATGACTGCATGATAAAGAATGCATAAATTTGTTTAATACTCCCATCAAATAAATTATTCAGAGTTTCTTTCTCTGTGTGCAGGTGTGCATGTACATAAGTTATGAACATGTAAATTTGTGGTGTGACATATTAGTGTGTGTGTGAATCTTATCATGTGTGCACGTGTGTAGAAAATTCCAAGTAGGGCTGTTGATTTTAAGCTTTTAAACTTTGTCTACTTCATTCCTTTTGCTATGAATATGGGCATGCGTGTTGTGAAATGATCAGTAGGCACACACATCTCATATGAACAACATGTATATTAGATTCGAACTAGCATAAAGGATTTTAAGCTTTCAAAATCTGTACACTTCCTTTTTTTCCTTTCCTTTTTCTTTTTCACTTTGCATCCCCGTTTCAGTGGCCAAAGAAAGGAAAGTTCACATGTTTTCCTCTCCTCTCACAGTTTCCTTGGCGGAGACTAAGTAATAAAGAATGACATCAAATCAAATAAATTATTTAAAGTTTCTTTCTTTGTGCAGGTGTCCATGTATATGGGTCATGAACGTGTAAATGTGTGCTATGAAATGATTAGTGTGCATGTGCACCTTATCATGTGTGCACGTGTATAGAAGATTCCAAATAGGGCCGGTGATTTTAAGCTTTTAAAGTTTGTCTACATTGTTTCTTTTGTTGTGAATGTGTGTTGTAAAACGAGGAGCGTGCACGTCATCATATATGCAACAAGGAATACAACATTTCAACTGGCAGCAAAGATTTTAAGCTTTCAAAGTTTGTAAACTTTCTTTTTCTTTTCTCCCCCTTGCTTTGTAACCCTGTTTCAGTGGCCAAAGAAAAGAAATTTCACATTTTCCCATCTTCTCACAGTTTCCATGTTGAAATTTTCATTTTTTCAATTCACTCTCACCTCGAGATGTAGAGGCTTTGCTACATGATTCTTAAATTAGGCAACGTTCCCTACATTCAAGGAACACAGACCTGTCCTATAGGCGTGTCCTATAAGCATGAACATGACTGATTGATGTTATAGCTTTGACTCTTGTAAGAAACACTACAACAATAGTTCAAAAAAGACCACCTGATATTCTATTTAATCCTACAGCATTGTTTTAGATATCCCCAATATATTTGATATATCGGTTCGATATATCCTTTTATATAAGGCATGAAACAATATGGTCTCAATATAGCACATCACCGATACCCAAACTTGGGTAGCTGTTACCTGCTTAGACACATCACCCGATTTGGCACTCCGATATTTACTACATATCCCTGATATTTTTCTCCAATGCCCACAATCCAATATAAGTTTTAACTGTCCGACATTTTCCCGATATCTAATATTCAAAACCTTGATCCTATCTAATCTATCAGCTCTCCGAAATAGCTTCCTATGTGGTAGAACAGTGCTGAGCTCTCAAAGTTTCAGTTTAGACACTACTTCGAGAAAAAATTTTAACACAAAGAACAAGATGAGAACAACTTAAACCATTTTGTGTCATGTTGCGTTGATAACATCCAATTGAGAAGTTTATACAACTGTGAAGTTTATAGAAAAGTAATATTCTGAGAGAAGCAATTCACACCTGAAGAAAGAAATAGACATCTTGAGTGCACAGCTCATACTCTTTTCGACCAACAAGACTTACAAGAGTGGGGGGTGCCTTATCTGCAGTAGTTCACTGAATTAACAAGTGTTGCACGAGAATCATAATAGCGATATGGAAAGATTTAAATAATCAGTGACAAAATCTGTTGCGATTACAAATGCAATGTGAATTAAATTTAAACAATCAGTGACATAACTTTCTGATTATAGATGTATGATTGTACATTGCACAAAAGTGAGATAAATACAACAACCACCAAGCCTTTATTCCAAATGTTTGGGGTCGGCTACATGAATCCTATTTTTTCCATTCCATTTTGTTATGAGTCATCCCCTTCGTTAAGTTAGTCTTTAATCATATCATTCTTAATTGCTTCTAACAAAAGTGAGATAAATGCTTATTTTAATTCGGTGGAACATATATACATATGTTAAGAATGAAAAAGAAATATCGTGCTACAAAATTCTACAAAAGCCATGTTCCACATAAACCCAATCTCTGGGTTCTTATCCTCTCAACTTAAAGAAGACTAGAAGATCACTTGAAATAATCTTTCTGCAGCTTATTAGAGTGAACAGGATAAATAATTGGACAACAACAATAGCAGTGTTCTCACAGTCACCCTCATTAATGAAGTGAATGATGCTTCACATGGATGTATTATTCTTGTAAATTTCTTCCTCCATGAATTTAAAGTTTTAGTCATGTATAACCTTAAAATACGTATGCGATTGAAGGGTAAAAAATCAGTAGCACGGGTAGAACACCAACATTTCTTTGTAGTTTATCGAACAAAAAGTTGGGCAATTAAGAAACCTGTGAGGAAAAAATTAAGTGTAGCAGAAACGAGTATATGACAAGTCTGATGGATATACAGTAAGCTGCGTTGGAAACAAGTACAGCTACAAGCCCCTAACACAGCAATATATAGTAAGCAAATTAATAAAAGGTGGGGTACGGGGTTACGGTTATGAACATGCACACGAGCGCCCACACACATGTATGTATATTTAATTAATAATTACATGAGATCGATACTATTATTCATAGACATGATCTGAAAATTTAAATTCCTATAGCGTTTTTATGTTTCTTTTACTTATAAATTTTACATCGGAAAACCGCTCGTTCTTGAACCAGATACCCAAATAACCATTTAAAATCATAGTACTAAATTGGGTAGGGGCTGAAACAAACCAAGTCCATGTCCAATGAATTTCAAAAGTGGATGTGAAATGTACAATATATATCCAAGAGAAGTATGAAGATGATTTTAAATTAAAACATGAATTATATAATTCAGTACACATATAAATAAATCATAAACGTATGCATATATTCAAGAGTGTCCAAGGAATCCAAGGAGTGTCAGCGTTGAATATGGATAAGGGGTGTGTCTGGTATGGCTCCATGATAGAATTACCCATGCAACATAGACTAAGAGATTAGATAGGAAATGAGTGCACTCATATGAAGATAGTGGTTGCCCCTATTGAGGATAAAATGAGTGAATCAATGTGGATGGTCGGCCACATATAACAGAGGCATTAAACACATCAGTCAGATAAAGTGATAAGATTATGGTCAATGGGACAAAGACTAGAGGTAGACCTAAACGAACTTGGTTGGACACAATTAACAAAGATATATAATAGATAATGGAGGAGACGAATGGAGGAATATGATTCATGAAGTCGAGCCCAAAAATAGGGATAACAGCTTTGTTGCTGTATGAAATGAAAATTTTTACATATAGTTCTGAGTTTCTCTCTGCTACCTAATGCAAGAAATCTGACTAGTCACATACTCATAAAAAACAAAAAGACATTCTCGCTCTCTTGCATAACACATGGATACTGTTGACACAGATTATATTGATGTTAACATTTTATCAGTCTCAAATTTAATGCATCCGAGAATGTATTTATTTTATAAAATTGTGTGTGCATGTGTGAGCTAGTTGGAGGGTTAGGTATTGGAGGTCAGGATTGTACAGGGCTTGGCTGTGGCCAGAGGAAACAATATCTTCTTTTTCTGAGGAAATAGAGTGGCGCCAATATTACAAAATGAGGGTGTAAAAGAGCACTAATATTCATTTACCTTGCACCCTGACAAGAAACTACAGATGCCTGCAATACTATATTTTCTTCCCTTTTTATCATTTCCTAAAGGCCAAGGATTGAATGTTTAATGGTTAACTGAATTGATATTCAGTTGAAAGATTAACAATAACGGTCTCACCTATCATGAGCTCGTAGACAAATTTGGCACGTCGTTCAGCTTCTAGCTGTTGTTCATAGGTTAACCCATTCTTCACACTGTTGCTCTTTTGAGTAATATTCTTGTCCTGACTCCCTGGAGAAGAGACTGGTGTAGGTGGTTTCCGATTAGGATGCTTAGTTAAGAATATTCCTTCAGGCCAGAGAATCTGTTCTCACAACAGGAAATCAGGATGTTAACATCAAACATAGCATTGATGCATATGAAACGAAGATAGTAGCCAAAAAAAATGGGTATCACAGAGGAGTGTTGACTAGCTAAATTGCTTAAATTGGATAGAAAACCAAGAGAACATTTATTGACGTATCTTGAGCTTGCATATTTGTAATTTGAATGGAAACATATCAGGGGAAATATGGTAGATAATTATATACAAGTTTTAAAGTTTAGATTGTTCAAGTGAGTCACAGGTATAAGCAAAGCTAGGCAAGGAGTAACTTACTCGTTCAACACGATTAATTGCTGAAGCAATCACAGTTCCCTTTCGCAGAAACTGGATTTTCTCTATAAGCCAATCATCAAAGGCATCTCCCATTCCTAATTGCAGTAGTTGTTTTGCAACACGAAATGCCTGTCGTCTAAATTTCATTGCGAAAGAGGTTATATTGATCAAGCCCAGAATTATACAAACAAATATCAAAAAAGGAAAATGTAAAGAAAGAGTAATGACGGTTCAAAAACAACATACCTGATCCAACCTCCATCTTGAAGCTGGAAAACTACATCTACCAAATTCAATATAGGGACACTCAAATTTGGGGGTACCCACTGCATCAGAAATAAAGAAATAATTCATTCTATGTTAAAACGCATAGCTAGAACAGGAATTGAAGCTGAGGAGATTATAATAGATTAAGAAAACAAGTACATCTTGTTCTGACACAAACAACAAAAGAACAATAGGGGAGGTGGGATGGAACAAAGAGTCATATATTTATCCTAACCTCCAAAAGAAAATAATGATTCACAATTTCACAATCATCCAACCAATAACTAAAAGATGGTGGTCTAACTCTACTTCACAATCAGAAAGCAGACAAGTCTATTACTCCTGTAGCATGAGTAAGGGGCTAAACCCAGTAAGGGACACTATTGTAAGGATGATCTGAACCACCTCCCACTTTCTCTGCATTAAGCTGCGTAGAATAAGAGGCAAGCATTATCATTTTAGACAGCCAACTATGATTTGCCCGCAAGGGACAACAATATCAATCATGTAATAAGTCCAATTTCCTTAAAATCCAAAAAGAAAAATCATTCATAAAGCTAAGAAATTTATGGTACAAAATTCAAAAGAAAAAAAAGCCCATAGTTTAGCTGACAATAGGAGTAACCCCAAATTTAAGAATATAACATAGATCTTACTTCAGTAGGAATAATTGCATCATCATCAGTTTCAAGAATCGAGGATGTCTCTTGCAGATCATCTGCTTTGCCAGCTCCTACCTCTTTAGTCCTATGATGATTGCTAGAAGATGAAGTATTTGTTTGAAGCTTGTCCTCCGAATCACCTCCTGCATTTTCTTGATATGAATTTTTAGACGCAACCACTGAACTGTTTCCAGAATTCTGTTCAATGTTTCTTTTTCTTAATCCTTTAATATCTGATCCTATATAGTTTTTGTTCGTTTGTAGATTGTACTGCTTGCTTGCATTAGCTTCATTAGATGACAATTGGCCATTTATATTCTCAACTAGGTTCTGACCCTTTGCACCTTTCTCACGTGACTTATCAGCAAGGTTGACTGCAAAAGTTTTACAAGGAGAGTCTGTCAGTACAAAAGATAATGCGTAGCCCCTAGATAGAACTCAATAAAAAATATTAATAGAAAAGTGATTCACCTGACAATGTCTGGATGATGGAGAGGGAATCCGAAAACATATATGTCTGCATTAAACATAACAGATTGACAGTATTATCCCCTAACAAGAAGAATACATAAGGATAGCAGTATAAGATAAGGATGGTAAAGTAAAGACAACAAGATGAGTAACCTGTGAATCAACACTAAGGAAATCCCAAACTTCTATAGACCCAGATGTTGTTGGCAATTGAAGAAGCATCTGCGGAATAGAAGTATATTAAGTGTTACTAAAAGTGGTAGAACCCCAAGTAGTTAAAGAACGACACAATAAGAGGGAAGGATACCAGTGAAAATGATTAAGTAATGAGCCCTGTCCTCAGAACACGGAAGGACACATACCTAGCAGATTTCAAGTGTTTTTTATTTTTCTATAAGAAATCTAAGGATCTAACATTCGGACCACATGAATAAACTTATTTCGAAGCAACCATGTAATCTAGGAGATTCTAGAAAACTGATAACTTTGAATATCTATATCAGCTTCACTAGAAATTAACAAAAAATACTCTAGCAAACATTATGAGTTGAGAAATAAATAGACAGTAACCCTTGAGCTTAAAGCATAATGCTGGGATATTCATGAATATCAATTCATTATCATGCCATCCTATCCAGGAGGCTCTATGGTAGCCTTGGAAAAACTGTCAGATAGACAGTCCACTTGATTCCACTGCAACATGTGGTGCTGAATATTGCTACGAGATAGGGGAAAGCTTATAAATATATTACCTTCAAATATTTGTCGAGTAAGTCACACCTTTCTTGAATAACAGGCACATCTAGTCCAGACGACAGAAAATGTTTTGGTGGCAAACTTAGATTGTATTCTGGAAATTCTTTGAGACGCTTATGTAGCTCCTCAAAGTGACGATACCTAATAAATAATTAGATTAGGCAACCCATTATAAAAAAAAGAATAGGTAAGTCTTTCTTCTGCCAAGAGAAGAATGCAAATATGCTTCAATCAGGTCTTTTGCTTTCTTCTCCGTTTACCTTCTTTTGATGGACCAGCTGTTATTATTAGCATCAGTAACAGCAATGGAATAAACAGCAAAAGTTCCAGGACCACTCTTAACAATATTGGCCCCTAATACCTGCATTCAAAATCAGCTTATATCCAATCAGTATGCAACATGACACCAAAACTGACACATAATCAATGTAAGAACCTTACTCAACGTAAGAACCTTGAGCCTTTCCTAATTACCTCACACCTTAACTTCAGAAAGGAATCTGCCAACACTGAATTTTCCAGGGACTTCAAAGATGAATTGCATGATTCAGTTGTTGAAATTGAGGAAAGAGAGGATGAGGCAGCTTCTCCACTATGAATTCTACTCCAGATTTCAGCATCTGGGTCATCACTCGATTCTTCTGTTTTTGAATCATGTTTTGCCTCGTGTAGTATATCATGTCCTTCACCCAGTAAAAAAGATGTTCTCTCAACCTCCTGCCAGGTGGGGATCTTTAGATTGCTTGACCTTGGCCTTTTTCTTCCTGACGAGGTTCTCATTATTCTTGGATGACGGCTATGACCTCTTCCATTTTTCATCGCTAAATGGAGGTCAGATGTTTCAAGTGGATGCCGAATGTATTGAACAGCAGCACATGTTTTGTTTTTGCTGTCCCACACTCTGGTTCCAGGAGAATCAAGGCCTGTCACAGTATTGTTGTCATCATCTTCACTCTGATATGAACCCTCAGTATCAGTTTCAACCTCCTCATCACTCAGGTCTTTTGTTCTATCCTGATTTGATATAACTGGCTGGTTAGTGGATCTGTTGTTAGCAGAATGAACTTGCATGTCATCTACCACATTCCTCTCTTCATCAAAGAATGAAGCATTGTTTCTTTTGGGTATATTGGCTCTTCTATCTTGTATAAGACCATTAGAAGGTTCCATATAATCCTGAGAAGCATTACTACTTCCCACAGACGCACTATGCCTGACCTGGTTTGCCACCTGTCTTCTGCCTTCCTTCTTTTTGTAGTTCCTTCCTTTTGTCCACATACTATCAAGGTTCTCTGGTGCTAGAACTTGAGTCTTTCTTCTGGAAAGCATATCTAACATTTGAGCCCATTCACCTCTTGCAGTATATGCGTCATTTGCTTTCACATTGCTAGAATTAATACTAACCTCCTGAACTCCTGCTCCATTAGAATTTTTTAAGACCTGATCGTCAGAAGTCGTGCTCGAGAGAGCATGCCTAACCTTCACAAGTTCAACACCAACAGTTGAGCGATCTTGAAATCCCAAAATTTCATCTGAAGATGGCATAGGAGGTGGCTTCATTGTTGGTGTCTGTTCTGCAGAAGGTATGATTCCCTTGTCAGCCTTATTGGCCAGAGAAAGAACCAAAGATTCAATCTTTTCATTGATAACCCTGAGATCCAATTTCGAGCCACAATCTAAAACTGGATAAAGAAACAGAAGGTATAGAAATCTATCAGACTAGAAAAGAATAATTACCTCGGGTTAGCTAAGTTTAAAACTGGTCGAAACACTGCACATGCAAGTAGCTCCCTGACTGTATATCGGAAGAAAGTGCATTGCAGATCTTCAGGTCTAAAGGTTATTTGGATGAGACCATTCATCAAATGCTGTAACACCTGGAATTTATAAAAAGATTAAGCATAGAAAGGTCGCTTTATGGGTCCTTCAAGGATAATCCTCAAGATAATGTACAATAAAAGAAACAACAATTAGTTTTTATGCATTAAACTAGGTTACTAGACAAGCATAATTAAAACCATTTACGGAATTTCATAACGTATCTTACCCCTTGAAATCCTGGTGGGAAGGATGAAATCAGTCAAAATACAAAAATACAACGGAAAATAATGTATACTCAATGTGGTCCAACTCTTTAGGATTACAATGTTCTCTGAGCTTTTTTTCTCAAAATAACTTTTCTTCAAGGGGCTGTTTGCATAGAGGTGGAAATGGGAACGTTTGCATAGAGGTGGAAATGGGTTCCCAACCCCACCAATAAAATTGTTTAAATTCCACCTAAATATGGGAAATAAATTTCCGTAAGTGATCAGATAGACCCAAAAAATGGGCAACCTATCTGGGCCAAGTCCAACTATCTAGAAAATGGGTGGAAACCCATTTCTTTGTTTGTTTTCCCCCCATGAAATTGGGTTTCCTTTTTTAGGAAAACAACCGAACGACCCCCAAGTGATCAGAAAAAAGGTATTACCATTTTGCTGAACAATCTACAACAAGGATGAACATGATGCACTCTAGAAAAAAAACTAATATGTAAGAAAAGGTGACGACTCTTAAAAGTAAAAAGGATAATGGTATTGATAATCTGAGGCAACCAATCCATGCCACCTGAAGGTAAGTAGAGTAGGGACACAACTGGTTTCAAGATCATGTACAGAATTCTTATAGATACATTAAGCACATGCATAAGAAACAAAATCTGATGGTGACACACCAGTATAAAGAAGCAAATCCAGAGGAATATGCAAGTTACTGTGGAAAAGGTGATAACAGGTCCCTTTCACTAGCTTAGTAGACAACATTTGCTTATTAGGAGAAGAAGGCACTGTTGCATGCAGTACGAATGAACAAACTGGGACATGAGATGCAGTTTGAGTAAAACTAAATAAGTTGTTAAAGCCAGTAATTGGAAGTCAATCCTGGTTTCGACAATATGGAATAATACATTAATTGGAAAAGTAATTTTAGTAGGGACTTACTACTGAAATTGTTATGTATGTTTGAATATATCAGGAGATAATAGCCACAGCAGTACTTACTTATGATCTGGACTACTCATATCAGGCAGCATAGCATCGGAAGGCTTCCACCAATTAACAATTGGAACCCCAGTGAAAACAACCTCATAATTTTCACGTAGTTTTTTTTATCATATACATGCATTTAGATCTAAGTAGATATATAGATTTTAAGCGAGAAAATAATAAAAGAATGAGTTTAAAAACTAATAAACAAGACCTTGTGCTCAGCTTCAACAGAAAACAAAGCTGGATGTAACTTATTATCAGCTGCTAGAACAAGTCTCAGTAGTGTATCTTCATGACCAGTAGGAAACTTCCTCAAGTCTTCTTTCTTGATCTTGGACTGGCCTAAGCGATAGAGCTCTAAATGATTGCAGAGAAGATTGATAATATCCCTACAACAAAAATAAAAGAAAAAAATCACCATAAGATATGACAAATCCTGACAATGTTAACATATCGTAAAATTAAGTATCAAGATCTAATACCTGCTGAGAAGATTGATAAGATTTATGTCTCTAGCACGAGAAGAAATTTCTGCAAGAACATTATTCATAATCTGCACTAATTCCTCTGGGCCATCCCTGTCAGGAGTTACGCGGGAATACCAGAGATCCGTTACCCACTCAGAGACCAAGTGTCTTGTAAATTGCTCAATTGCTGCCTCAACTGGAGGAGAGTTGACTTTTCTTCTCCAGTTTTGCTTTTCAATGGGAAACTCGTGAAGCTCAACAGATTTTCTTAGACTAGATTGATTAACAGGGGATAATTTCTCCTCTATCGTGGCCCTTCGATGAATATCAAGGTCAAGAGAGACATAACGGCCAAAAATGATTAAGGCAGCAGCAGCAGGCAAGTTAATCCAAACTGATGAACTCGTTACTGCAAAAGAGTAATCACAATAATTGGCAGAACTACTTATGGTTAAAAAAGACAGAAAAAGAGAAAGAAGTATTCTGCATAATATAGAACTTATGGATAAAATTTTATGCAGCATGTAACTCCTCAAATGGTTAACATTGTCATAATTGATTGAGTAACTCAGAAATTCCAAGATGGATGAAGTAAACAATCAGACATTGTTATGGGAGGAAAGAGAGCATGAAAATAAGTTTTCCTCAGAGAACAGCTGTCCTCTATTCATTTCCAATCTCAGATACTTTTCCATCTAATTCTAGGAAAAAATTACTTTTATCTTTTAAAAAATTACAAGGAAAATTCTCTTTCTTTGGAAACAAACAAGCAGAAACTACAACTTTCAGTTAGAAACATGAGTTTTTGTTTCATCATTAATAGCATGAACTTAAGTTCCCAATAGAAAAAGAAACCTTTGAAGAAATGGCTGCGTAAGAAACATTCTTTCTATTATATAGAAAAAGCATGTTATGATCAACTTGTGGATATATGCTATGAGATAGGACAAGATATTGATACATTTGTAGGAGGTTACAAGTTGCTCCTATAAGGGATAAACGAGAGAAAAATTTGTAACCGATTGATCATCAGTGCAAGCTGGGCCACCAATGCATTAGTTAGAAGTATCTACAGAAATTATAGTTGACAGGGACAAGGAGGACCAGAGGTAACTCTTGGGCCTAAGAGAGTTTAATTGATATTAAGAAGGATATGATACCAATAGAGTTAAGAGGAGATATCCCTTGCAAAACTGAGTGCAAGAATATGATTCATGTAGTCGATCCTAAAAATTTGGGATAAAGGCATTGTTGTTGTTATTCTGACAATTTGTGTGCTTCTTCTATATACACTTGGGTGGATTCCTGGTGCAGAGAGTGCCCCATATTCGCTTAGCCTAGTAATATATTGTCAACTTTGGCATAGAGTCAGCTCTATACTAAGCAAGAAAGGGAGGCATCAAGCTTGCCTTATATGGTAACCAAGAGATTACTAATTTTAAATTTTCAATCCTTCACAAATCATGTCAATAATGTTTAGTTTTTTGGAAGCAACAAACTCACAATGCAAGGTTTAGCAAAACTAGTTATCAGTACCCTATTTCCTTAAAAATATAATGATGACAATTTTAATGTGTATATAACTCTAATGATCTATGTCAGCATTATCTGCAAGAGATTAGAATTAAATGATCCAAAAGCAACCTCTAACCTCCTATGAGTGCACTCATTTCTTATGTTGTTTCTTCATATATATCAACAAAACCAACGTAACATAGCATAACATTCACATTATAGCTACATTAATTTTTTTTATACATGTCTAAAAAAGCATTCCTAGTCATATAGTTGTCCTGTATAATATTTCTTTTAATTACGTAGGTATCTATGACGAAAAAAGAGACCAAAAGTACTCGCTATTTGAACCAAACTGATTTGATTTGATGATTCTGGATGTCACCATCTTTATAAATGATCGATCCTAAATGATGAAAGTGATTACTGATAATTCTTGACCGTCAATATGTAGTATACACACAATCCTGTTCACAATTACTAACATTATATTCCATGTATTATGTTTTTGTTCTACTAATACTAAATCCTTCATATTCGAGATCTTCTTTTAATTTATCTAATTTAGACAAATCAGTCATTCTTTAATCTAGTTAACTACTTATATCATCAACAAATAATAAACACTACCGGACTTTAGGTTGAATGTGTATAATAAGTTAGTCCATAACTAACGCACTATAAGGGATTAAATGTTTCATTGACGCAAACCTATAAAATAGAGAAGATTTTGTCTCTCCATTATACTCACCTAGCTATTACTTTAACATGCATATCTTTATCACATCGATATAGCTATTAAATGCTTGTTTCTTTTGTAAATGTGCCACACTATCTTCCTCTACACTCCATTATAAGCTTTTTTTAATTAGCGAAAACTATATGTGCATCCTTTCTCTTCTCTTAATCTCATTATCAACTATCTTAAAATACAAATAATTTCAATTTTCATAGTTCACCTCTCATTAGGGGTGCAAACGGTTCAGACATGGCTCGAATATGATGCCATATTTGTATCCACTTACAAGTTCAATATATGTCTCGATAAAGAAAACTCATATCCATATCCGTTAAGATTTGTTAAGGATATGAATATACAACACGAGTTAATACATGGAGATTATATATATATATATATATTATAAATATATTAAATAATATTATCTATATAGTATATATATATAATATAATATATATAGTATATATATCGTATATATATATATATATAATTATGGATATGAGGCAGAGTGGCTATGATTTGTACAAAACAAGACCATAGGACTTGGTGAGCTTACCCCTGTTTGATGTTGATTGTAAGGTGGCCATCACATACTATTTTGTGTAGCCATTAGCAAATGAGCCCACCTCATATCATTTATTTCATATCTATATATATGGTATAAGATGGCAGTTTTAAGAGATATCTTATGATGGGGGAGATTAGTCATCTGAGAGGTCTAATCCTTACTAGTCACATCAAATACTGTGGACCTCACCATCATGTCTGTTGGCACTTATTTTGCTAAAGGAACCACCACCTGATAACCCAACCCCCCCCCCCGGTCCCCACACAAACATTACTTAGAGTAAAGCTATATACAACTTAAGCAAATAGGAGCACTCTGTTATCAACTATTCTTATTCATTGACTTTGATCTTGAGATCATGGTATACATTAATTATCTTTGAGAGTGTCTCTTGATAATGTATCACATGCCAGCACAAATCTCAAAGCAAAATCACAAGGGTAACAAAAAAATGGTGAAAATGATAGCCTGCTATCTACTTAAGTTTACAAGAGTTTATATATAATTTATATATATATATATATAAATAATATATAGTATATATATATTATATATATTATATTATAGTATATTACTATATATATATATATCATATATATAGGGTATGTATATATATATATTTATTGTGTGTGTATCGCATAAAGCTATACACACACATATATAATATATATACATATATATATAAAGCTCTTGTATATGTATATATAAGTATATAAATGTGTGTGTGTATACATATATATATATAAAGCTCTTGTTTGTATTTACATATATATGGATATATGTATATATACATATGCATGATTACATATACATATATACAGATATATATATATAGACATACATACATACATGTTAGTTCACATGATACAAGAGAGCTCATGAATATGTTCTTTATATCTGAAAAATCTAAGATTAGATCTCATAATCATCAAAATTAACCTGCAATCCATTATTGTAAGGATTAAAACAATTGCAACTATATCACACTCCTAAAATAGAAACGAAAAATCGCAGGTGTGCAACAACGACAACCCGTATTTATCTTCAATTGTTGTTTTGCGAGAGTGATAGTAAGATGGTATCAAAGCTTTGGCTATAGGTTTAGATTGAGTTGAAGATGATTTAGTGGCAAAAGAAAAGGAATATTGAATTGTGACATATAAAAATAAATACCTTCAGTTTGAATATTAATTATAATCTGGAAGCTTAAACTAGAATATTTGGATTTCATAATTTACTTTCAATTTTGACTTTTCCTTGAGTTAAAGGTCCAACATGAGTACGTATGATTAGGATATACTAATGTGATTTTGTTTTGGTAAGGCATCGACCCGAGAATATATCAAACATTGGATTTGGTAAATTGGTTATATAAGTTTTACTTAGATCAATATGTAGTAATATTTATCTTTGATATATGTTGATAAATTTTCAAATAAGAAGAATCACATAGTGGAAAAGTAAAGGATTATTTTCTAATGTTTGGATAAGCACAAATAATATACTAAATTTGAAGAAATATGAATGCTAGTTAGGAGTGTTTGCATTAGTCACCTACTTACCTAATATTCCTAACATGGATAATTGTGATACGAAATCACTTGGATTCAAGGTTAGATGTTAACAGACTACTAGAATTTTTTGTGTATATTTCTTCGTTTTGTCAATGCATTCTGTGCATTCTCTCTTTCTTAGAAAAACCCCATGTGATAAGGTAAATGTGTCTGACACTCTGACTATAGGTCTAACATATCGATCGGTTCGAATACATGAGTTATTGCGTAGTACCTTATTAGAAATTATTAGCTCTAGCACTAATATTAGAGCACTAAATATCTTGATGTATATTGAAGAGATTAGTTATTTTTAGTAGGCAAATAAAGATGAAGAGAATTATCAAAAGTTGAATGACCAATTTATATTTGTGCCAAATTTCATAATTTCTTCTTGATTGAATAAATTTGTAATATATGATGATAATGCTCTTGTTGATAATGGTTGTGTTCATATGAAAAAGAAGAGAATATAATAAGTTAGTGTGCGCCTTATGACTAAAGTTACCCACATAATTTGGAGTTTGTCTTCTTAATTATTTATTAAAATCTTAGACGTATTATCACTACAAAGAAATAGATGAAGCATATAATATACACAGATCAAAAATGTGGGAGAAATATATGATTGCAACGGTTAGATGAACTATTTGAGGAAGAAATTCGGCAAGGGTTTGAATGATGGAATCAATAACCTTTTAAAAATTAAGCTTACAAGTGATAATTTATCAATGTATTAAATATCGGCCGATATATCACTATATCTGCCGTTTAGTGAGTTGTAGTTCCTTTTCCAGAGGATGAGGAATGGCAAGTCAACCTCTGCCAGATCTTCGGCCCAGTTTATTAATGAAACTGACTCTACTTCCTCATTCAGGCTGATATCAACTGCAAAAGAATATGAACTACAAAAGAAAAAGGCCCTCATCTTTAGTTTAGCGTGGATATCATTGGTATAAATGAACGAAACTGGAAGAAGGAAGGCTTCTTTCTGTCCATACATACGCACCTCTCACTCTAACCCGCTTTTTGTTGGAGAGAGAGAATGGAGTTTGTCACGAAGTTCAAGACAAAGGAAAAAAGAAAAGTTTCTCTATAGCCTATTCGTTTTGAGACATTATGGCTTTGGGTTCGACCCAGGTAACAAAGAAGGAATCCATAAAAACTTAAGATACAAAGCATATTGATTGTTGAAGAATAGATGCTTAGATTTGCTAGTTTTCCTTGGTGAAGTCAATTATTTAGGATTTTCGATGGTGTTTTGAAATAAATTTCCAAATCATGCCTCTAAATGGAGAGATTTGGTTTCAATTGTCTTGGCGTTAGGCATGAGTCAAATTTTTGGAGCCCTTACCTCATACTACCAACCAACTTGTAGCAATTCAAAGAACAAATGCAAGAGCTCTTGGGTAGGGTTTTATTAGTATTTGCATTTCACTATGAAGTGCATCACTAATGTTTGTGAAAAAAATATAGAAGCATGCCACTGTATATTAACTTTTGGTAAGTTAAATCGAGTAATGATTCAGGATGAGCGTTATAGAAATTACTCCTTATATTTACTCTAACTTATTTTTCTTAGAGGGGCCATGGACTTTTTGGACCCTATAGAATGTGATTTTACTGAGAATGATGTTCTTTGAGTTAAATGGATGTGTCTAAAGTACATGAGGGGTAGTTCGATCTAGTCTTGTGGAACTTGTGCTGCTATTTCCTAGGCATAGACCAGTTTAATCTGCATACGGCCTTATATGATGAATCTCATGGATGGTGACAATAGACCTATTTGCAGCCCAACTACGGATGGCGTCTTTAGCTTCAGCTCAATGCGGGACTCCATTTGCAATTGAGGATCATCAGTTGCTCAGGCTAGTTGGGTTTGGTTTAAAGGTCATGTACCTCGGTTAGCTTCTTATGCTTGGAAGGTGTTTATGCAATGTCTCCTAACATAAGATTTTTTCCGTGAGGGCTAAATATTGTCTCGCAGTGTTTGTTGTGTAAGGTTGCTAGTGAGGCAAGATTTTTACAGTGAGCGAGGGCTCAATATTGTCTTGCCGTGTTTGTTGTCTATGGTTGCTGATGAGGATGTTACACATCTCCTCCTACAGTGCCTATATGTGCATGATGTTTGGATTCACACAATTGATAATTGGTGTGAACCATTTTCATCTATACACATGGAGTTAGAGGCTATTTCTGATGATGGTCGTCAACGAGGCATTATTTGGAGTAAACATACATTGAACATTGGTTCTGGCTAGATTACTTTTGTGTGGCGATAGAGGAATAGGAGATTGTTTACTTGTGATCCACCTTGAAGTCTTTACAAGTGATATGTTTAGTGCTTGACACTTTCAAGCTTTCGAATACTTGAGTATCGTAGTTTTATTTCCTTTGTTTACTTTATTTTTCTTTGTTGTTTTTATAGTTTTGGATGTGGTTCTCATGAACTAGGGATGCCTTGTACTTTTGTTTTATTTTAATTTACGAAGGCTCACATTGTTCTTTGCTTTGGCCCAAAAAAAAAGGGCAATCAGAAGTGATATATCAAATTGTCAGGACACATTTACTCTCATATTGACTATATAGATGATTTGATGTGGTTTTATGGAGATTTAGGTTTGTTTCCTCTAACAGTTAACATTTAGGGGTGAATTCTCTTAAGTACTTGACAAATGGTATCACAGTCAGCCTCATTCTTAAAATATGGTACCATTGTCTGCCCCGTGTTTCCCAATTGTAAGCAATCTAGTGACACCAACATGCAGAGTTCACTCGAGACTAGTACGGGTAAAAAGACAAAATGATGGTGTTGGTATTGCCCCTATTGCATTATTCAACTGGGACTAGACTAGTATAACATGAGCCTATGTGGGCACCTGGCCTAATGGTAATTAGGTTCCATTTAGTTTTATACTGACTACATGGATGGTTTGACGTGGGTTTATAAATATTTGGATCCCCTCTCTTAGACAACAAACTTTCAGGGTGAGCTCCCTAGATCTCAACCACAAATAGTGTAGTTAAATTAAGAAATTCAAACGGAGAAGCAAACATACAAAGAAGACTAATGCAATTTCGCTAAGTTAAAGGTCACTTCAATCAAGGACATCATAATTTCCTGAGATTCTTTAAGATGTTATAAAACTAGGTCTATTGTTTATTGAAGTGAATAATTAACTGAATTCACACAAAATAATATAATTCTAATAAAATTAACTATAGAAATTGAAAATTCAACAAAGAGGAGCTTACAGGACATGAGATAAGAGAGTCCAAAGACGCATATGAGCAACAAAACCACTCGCTTCTTGGCTTCTTCAACCAAATCCTTCGCTGTTCGCCGCCCGCTGATCATCTTCAAACCCTAAAAACTTCCCCCTTTCTAATGACGATTGATTCGAATTCTTGATCGGATCAGAGAACAACGATCTGATCCGATATTTTCACAATGAGAGAATTAGGGCAAGTGGATCATCGTCGGTACATGCATCAACATCGAGCTCGAAGACGAGAGGAGTACAGCGGACTGTTTATTCCGTTCCCCTTTGGATTCGGTTCTATATTCTTCTTCAAGTGTGGGACCGAACGGAGGCGCGTGTGTGAAATAATGAGAAAGCGCGTCGAAAAGGGGTTATTTGCAAATAACCCTCTCACACTTTTTTAAACGTTGATTGATATATTTATTAATCTTAAAATTCTAATATAATTTGTTGTGAGTTAATGTTGTGAATCAGTTGTTAAATTTAAAGGTTAGTAACTAAACTAATAACTTTTTTGTTAGTTTTAAGGATTAATTGTTAATATTGCTTGTAACACCCTGTCCCTCTCATAACCTGATAGCCCTCACCGGCAAACCATTTTGCCGTATGACCAAGGCAAATTTAATAGAATATACCCCTGGTTTTATCATAACACCTAATTTGTTAAATTATAATTTTTATAGGGGTTAAAGATGAAAGGCTTGTCGGGTTAGGAGCAAAAGCGGTCAAACTACAAATCAGCCTAGTAAGTTAAGAGATCTTATAAAACCTAATTTAAAACTTAAGAGCTAAGATTTTTGTCTTTCATTTCTTTTTATTCCTCCTGTATTCTGGTCCAAAGAGAAAGAGGGATCGGAGAAAGAGAGAGAAAGTGAGGAGGGAGAGAGAAAGTGAGTTAGAGAGAAGGAGAGGGAGGTTCCAATGGTGTTTATCATTTCCATCACCTTCAGTCTCTTCATCACATGGAGATCAGATCTTAACCAATGGAAGAAAAGCTTGGCTTTGGAGGAAACGTATTATAGGATCAATATCGTTACATCCCTAAAGTATGTACCACTTGCACTTTGCTCCTTGATTTCGGCATTATATACATGCATTATGTTGGAAACTTAGTAAAATAAATGCTAAAAAAAGAGATGAGAGTTGAGCCGTGATAGGGCACTGTCCTTCAGGGTAGTTTCACCCACTCTAAGGCTGTGTCTCGATGCAATAGGGTATTGATGACGCTCCACCCTCCAGGATTCAATAGCTCTATATACTATAAGCGTGCACCCAAAAGTGCATTGTATGCAGGAATAGCGAGAGATTGGCACTTCCTTAGAGAGTAGTAGAGAATCACTAGAAAACTGCACAGCAAGGCCCAAATCATTGAATTTGCACCCACATGTAGACGCACATGTGCATCAAGTTTGTCTGGATTCGGTTAAGCAAATTCCTTCTTTGGGCTCTATTTCTTAGTTCATTCAAACCATAAAGAACAGATTACCTATTATAGATACCTTAAAATTTTATCTCCTATCCAATTTAGGACTAAACTTTAAAGTTAATTTGAAATACTCTTGAGAACTCGAACACATTATACATAATTTGAGATTTTAATTATGAATCATGATGATCAAAACCTTATGAATATATTCTGATGTATTCTAGCAATTATTTTTATGTTCAATAGCAGCCTATATTTGGTTAACAACTAATCAATTACTTAAATCATACACAAACACGTTTGAAATATCGAAATCGACAAAACATACACCAAAAACATCTACACCCTAGTTCTCTCTTGTAATCACGATTTTGTTGTATGAGACATAGTCCTAAATTTGTTCTTTGGTTCCTTAGACTGTCGAAAAATACGTGTAGGTTGTCGAAAAATTATTGTAGATAGTTGATCCTCACAAAATGCTGACGATAAAAGTTACAACCTGAAGACTTTCACGAAAACAGACGTGAGTTACAAATTGACGACTCTCACATTCTTAAGAATGAAATATAAGCAAGCTGATGATTCTTGCAAAATTCAAAAAAAGAGATTACAATTGACTATCTCTTCAAGGCTAAATGCGAGGGTCCACCCTCGCGTTCCCAAGGCCAAATGCGAGGGTCCATTGTCGCGTTCCCAATTCCAAACGTGGGGCTCACCCTCGCGTTCCAAACTCCTAACGCGAGGCTCACCCTCGTGTTCTAAACTCCAAACGCGGGGCTCACTCTCGCGTTTTAAAAGCCAAACGCGAGGGTCCATCCCCGCGTATTGAAGTTAGACCACGAACGTCGCGTTTGACTATTTTAAATTACTTGAACGGTTATCCACTTAATGGGGCGATTAAGCCCCCATTGTGGAGCAAATTAAGGGGTCAGTTACACCCTTTAAACCCTATAAATAGCTAGTTTTATAGCTGAAAAAGGGTTAGAGCTTTTTTGGTGTGAGCTTTTGATTAGAGCTTTTAGATCATTTTGGCTTGACTTTTTGAACCATCTTTGGTTGAAGATCTTTGAGATCGGCTATGAGAGAGGAAAGTTATTTAGCTTATTTTGGTTAAAAAGGATTGAATTTCCTTTTTGAAATTAACTCTCTTGCAGAGTTCTAAACTCGTCCAAAGTTCCCAAACTTGCTTTGCAAGTTCTTCCAAGACATTAAGTCAAGAGGAGAAGACAAAGTTCCACGAAGTGAAGTGTTCAGATCGTCAACGGGATATAAGAATCAAGCTCTCATCATCACCAAGAAGAACCCAGTATTAAACAAAGGGAAGGACATTCGTTGATCTTTTTCTCTTTTGGAAATCAGAAAACCGATAAAAAAATTATAATTTATTTTTCTAAGTCAGTTAGAGAGAAGTTACTTTGAGAGATTGTATTCATTCTTTTCCTAAGTCAGTTAGGGAGATTAATACAAATTTATTTCTCAAATTTCTTATAATTTTTCCCATAAACAAGAGATGGTGACTCTGTTGGGGATCAATTTTTTCACCGATGAAGAAGTGGTGGCGCAATCTGACACCAAACTCATGGGAACCGCTATCGAAACTTTGATTGTCGAGTTCGACCAAGCCAAGTATGATGAGTTTCTCTCCTCCAGATCCCTTAGCCCTAAGGCTATGCGCAATATCCGCAAAGTCTTCAAAGAGACTAAGGTTCCTCCTACTGTTGACTTACCAAAGAAGCGTCTCTCCTTAGGGTCATACTATTCATACAGTACCCTCTCTGAAGGAGAAGCCTTTAATTCAGCCAAACTCGCCACGCGCGTTGAAAATTTTTCACCCGTACCTCTGTAAAAGGTATGGGGTGACAAGAGACCCATTGTTGTGACCAACCTAATCAATACAGATGGTGATATCGCTACACAAGTCTTAACTCGGGTAAAGAAGAACGCTACTTGCCAAAGGAGAAGATCCCTACGATGAGCCTAACTTAGAGAAAGCCGATCAACCAACCAACACGAACTTTGCGTTTGTGAGCCAAGACACGACCCCAAGCTTTGTGTTTCTATTGAAGAACGCGATCCTCGTATTTATTAGCCCAAACGCGAACCTCACAACCTCAATGTCACGTTCCACAGCTAAAATGCGGACCTCAAGTTTGCATTGAATGTGAACCTCAGCTTCGTGTTGCTCAGTCAAAACGTGAATCTCGCGTTTAAAAGGACGTTGTACGTGACCCTCATTTCCCCGCTCTCAAATGTGAACCTCGCAAAAGCATGACTAAATGCAACCCTCAACGTCGCGTCCCCCCTGTTAAAAAGCGGACCTCAAGTTCGCATTGAACGTGAACCTCAGCCTCGCGTTGCTTAGTCAAAACGTGAACCTCACGTTCGAAGGGACGTTGTACGCAACCCTCGCATCCACACTCTCAAACACGACCCTCACGTCCCCGTTCTCAAACGTGACCCTCGTATCCCCATTCTCAAACGCGTCCCTCGCGTTCAGTTACCTAAACACGACCTTCACGTTTTAGTGTTAAAACGCGACTCTTGCATTATTAATACTAAACGTGATGTGTCAAGTCGCGTTCAGGATGAACGACATGGACTTCAAATCCATGTCCATCAAGAACCAGTCCCATCTAGCCAAAGACTGGGGGTTCAAAGAAAAACCTCACAAATTGTGAGTAACTCATCTCGAGTCTCTGTAATAGACTTGAGAGAGTTCCTATCAAGTGACGGAGCTATTGAACAAATCACTCTCGCCTGCCAATATGAGCGACTTATCTCTGCAGTCCTTTTAGAATGTCGATGTTGTGCACCTGTAACTAGGCCATGCGTATTCAGTCGACTGACGAATGTCGCCTTGCTAAACCGGTACAAGCGATGACGTTCCCACAAGATGACGACTTCAGAAGAAGAGTACTTTGGAGTTACTTCTAACATGGTGAGTCTAGGGAGATCATCAATCCCTAGATCCGGTGAGTCAGAGATGGATCAGTCCCCTGGCTTGAAAGAGATCCTGAGTGTGTCTGATGGAATCTATCAACACACTCGAACTCGAAAGGGAGTCATCTCTCCTGTCAACTACCAAAAGTTGGATAAAGGAATTGAGTTTGATGATGAACACTCAGCCATCACAGAATCTCAATCATCTAGCTCTTTCATAGAACACGAGAGCTCCACTTATATAGAGGGACACCCTGATGATCTTGTGAAAAGACTTGATGAGTAGCAAGCTATGATCAAGCCTCAGCAGGAGACTATCTATGAACTATGGATCCTGATGGCTCAAGTTGTTGTAGACAGGGCCAAATCCCAGAAGATAGATTCACCGCCTGGGCATGAATCTTCCTAAAGAGGAGGATCATCTTCATCTAGACCCTTTACATCAAAGGGAACAAAAAAGTGATTGAGACTTCTGATCAAGAAGGAAGAAAGACTGAGAATGAGAAGAATCCTCAGTCTGCTAAAATGGAAGAATTGGAAGCACACCTTAATGCCATTGGCAATAGGAGCGAGCTCCAAGATAAGGGAGTTGTTAGGCCCTATCCAACCGAATGGGATACATCCCCTTATCCTCCAAAAGTCAAAGTCTCAACTCTGTAAGCTTTTGATGGCACTGGATCACCAAAACAATATATCTATTATTTCAAGTTGCAGACTGGAAATATGATATCAAACGACGTAATATTGGCTAGTTTGTTCATTGGCACCCTCAAGGGTGTTGCCGTTGAATGGTTCATGAAACTGTCTGCGGGATGTATCAAGAAGTAGGCAGCTCTAGAGAGACTCTTCCTATCAAAATTCTTTGAAGACGACACAGAAGTCTCTGTCCATACCCTTCTTTCTACTAAATAGAAGAAGGGGGAGCC